TTGGGGCCTCTTCAAGCCTCTTGGGGCCTGCTGGGGGCTTTTTGGGCCGTCTTCGGCACTTCTTCCTCCGCCGTCTTGGCGCCCTCTCAGGCGCCTCTTGGGCTTGGCCTGGGGTCCTCTTGGGCCTTTCCGGGAACCTCCTGGGCAATTTTGGGGCCTTTTTGGGCCGTCTTGGAGCCCTCTTGGCGGCTTCTTGGTCCGTTTTTGGGCTTTCTTGGGGCGTCTGCGACCCTCTGAAGGCCCAAGAGGCGAATGTGCTAAAATTGTACGTTTCCCCCCCCCCTCCCCCCCTTCCTAGGACATGGGGCAGTTTTTGCTTCTTTGGGCGTTCTTTGGGAGGCCTTGTCAAGTTTTCTGAGGCATCTTGGAAGCATCTGGAGCCGTCTTCGGGGCATCTTGGGCATCTTGTAGCGATCGTTCGGCGACTCGGGACCCTCTTGCCCCATGTTGGGGCCCTCCTGGGCAAGGGGGCCGTCGCGGAGTGAGCTGGATCTCCGATTCCGCCCCAGGACTTAAATCGCCCCCCCCCCCCCCGCCCCCCTACCCTGGCAGAGCCACCCAGGCACGCACCCCCCAGCAGAGCTGAAACTCAGGAATTGAGGCTCGGGCTGTTCTGAAGGGTTTTGAAACTCACACGCCGGATCGGCGCATTTCGGCAGACCCCTTACAAGTTTCGTGGCCCCCTACGGGCCCCCAACGAGGGCCTCAGAGGCAGGGTTCGCATGGGTATCCGCCCCATTCCGGCAGACCCGTCACACCTTTCGTGGCCTCGTAGGGAGTTCCGCCGAAGGCCTTGGAGGCAGCGTTCGCATAGGTACCCGCCCCATGGCAGACCCCTCGCACGCTTCGTGGCCCCAGTGGGAGCTCCACCGACGGCCCCGGTAGCAGGGTTCACATATGCACCCGCTCCATGTCGGCAAACCCCTCCCAGGCTTCGTGGCCCCATTGGGAGCTCCACCGGGGGCTTCAGTGCTAGGGCTCGCATGCGTACTTGGGTCCATGTCGGCAGACCCGTCGCACGTCTCGGGGCCCCATAGGGAGCTCCACGGAAGGCCCCAGTGGCAGGGTTCGCATGCGTACCCCGGTCCATTCTGGCACATCCCCCACACGCTTCATAGCCCCATAAGGAGCTGCAGTGAAGGCCCCAGCAGCAGCGTTCACATAGGTGCCCGCTCCATGTCGGCAGACCCCTCGCACGTTTCGTGGCCCCGTGTTTGGGGAGCTCCACCAAAGAATGGTTAACCTCCCGCGTGTGATGTGCGTCGCGTGGGTGCGTGCCGAGCCTGCCCCGACGTTCTCTTACGAAGTTATCAGGGGCACTGCGGAGCCCCCTAACGAGTTTTTGCACATTGAGCGGTCATGTTGGTCAATTCCATGACCGTAGAATGGATTGGGTTCTTCGCCCGTGCAAGTTGTTGTGGATGCCCTAAGCGAAACGCTGGTTTTTGAAATTCCGTTTGATAGATCATCGGTTGCAGGACATTTTTGGTCGAAGAAGTGCGTCCTGTGCGTGCCTGCTCGAGGAAGTGCGCCCACGCGGATATCTAACATGAGGTCGTCGGTCTCTTCGCACGTATACATACGCGCGCGTAGGGGATCTCGCACATGCGTCTGGCGCCCGTGCATATTGCACGTGTTTTTGCGTGTCCAGGCCACCCAAGGGATATTGTCCCGATCTGGGACCATGTGTTTAACATGCCCAGGCCGCCCAAGAGGTATAGGGGGTATCTAACATGGCGTCGGGCCCAGAGCAGAATTATCAGGAAACGCACTGGGGGCTCAAAAACGCCACCCGAACACATATCCCAAGACTGAAAAGAGATGCTTGCCTACTCTGGACAGGGGGTGGCGCTTTGGGGGCCTTGTCAGGGAAGACGTTGCGAAGAAGTCTCGGGCGGGAGCGCTAATCTGGCCACCCAGGGGAGTATCTAAAATGATTACCCCGAGCTGGAACCAGGTAGTTTTACATGTCCAGGCCACCCAGAGAGGTATCTAACATGGTTGTCCCCAGCTGGAGCCATTTGTTTTCCTGTGTTCAGGCCACCCAAGGGGTATCTAATATGCTGTTTCTGCGCTGAGACCATTTGTTTTCACGTGTCCAGGCCACCCAGAGGGGTATCTAACATGGTGGTCCCGAGCTGGAGCCATGTGTTTTTACGTGCCCGCGCCACCCCGGGGTTGGTATCTAAGATGGTTGCCTCTTTCCCCTCGCTGGAACCATGTTTTTTCGTATGTCCGGGCGGCCCAGGGCGGTATCTAACATGGTGTCCCCGAGCTGGAATCTCGTGTTTCCACTTGTCCAGACCACCCAGAGGGGTATCTAACTTAGTGGCCCCGAGCTGGAACCACATGTTTTCACGTGTCCTGGCCACCCAGGGGGGTATCTAGCATGGTGGTCCCGAGCTGGAACCACGTGTTTTTACGTGTGCGGGTCACCGAAGGGGAGTAATATAATATGTGGTTGTATGAGCGCTCCCAGCCTGGGGGGGCAGAAGAGCCA